CAGGTGTGCTCCAGACATACAGTTTTGGGGGAAGGAGGAAGTGGGTGAGTGTGTGTGTGTGTGTGGGGGTGGGGGGGGGGGGTGAGCATGATGTGAGCAGGCATGCAGAATGAAATCAAATCTACAGCAGTGGCTTAAAGGCTAGAAATATAATCACAGCTAAAGTAAGCTGGTCGTCCTCATTCAGTTTTTCCTCCTGATGTGATGACTCCAGTTACAAAAATGTTATCAGAAGCTGCTTTAAGCGGGGGGGGGGGGGGGGGGGGATTCCCTGCCTGTAATAAATGGCAACAAAACAGATCAAGGTCCTGATTTTTGCTTCATGCTGCTGGTACTCATTTACCCAGCATGCAGATGATGCGTTCAAGTCAGTCGTGGTGCAGTACCTGTGATAATACAGACACCCACAGCCATTTTGTTGAGCTGCAGCCAAAACATTTACCACCAGACGATCTACACACGCCGTCGTCTCACATGACGATCCACTTAGTCATCAGCAGACGCAAACCCTCACCTCACCTCAGTTCACCCGCTCTCCGTTAATGTTTGAACAAAGAGTGGCTCCTTTAACTATCGAACACAGTGAGAACCATAAAAAGAAAGCACAATCCACGTAAATAAGGACACTATGGTTTAGAAACACACGCACACTGGGACACACCCTCTCAGGTGGAGAAGGTGTTGGAGTTTTATGCTAAAATGTTCCACGCAGGTGAGGCCAGAGGTTCGTGTGAGCTGCAGCGCCAAGTTTCAGCCATGCAGGGTTTTTTTTTTTTTTTAACAACCCCTAATCGAACATATTCCAGACGTGCACTTACCTGCCTTTCTCTGCAGAAACTCATTGCTGCTGCTGCATCGGCTGCAACCATCACATTTAGAGCTCACTGCCTAAGGAGCTGCTGGAAACATCACCGATGCAAGAACCACCTTCTTCAACGGGAATACATGAATAAAGAAGCCACTAATCTCACTGGGACGACGAATGCTTCAATCTTTGCAGGTTGAGTGGGTCTCTGCAGCATTTTGTCAATAATATAACTTAAATTTAACAAGTGAGGCATTTTCTTTAACTTTTTTAAAACTTCATTTATAATATTATAAGAAAACACATTTTCTTTGTTACTAAGAGCCTATGTGTTAGTGCACCTGACAAGCTGCACACTCTTTTTGACAACCAGCTCAGCTTTCGCTCCCCAACACAAAACCCTGCAGTGGCATGAAGGTGATGGAATGATACAAGTGTTTATTTTGTCATTTGAGAGTGACTGTAGCCGTTTCTGTGGTACTGTACCTCACTGGCGTTCTCAGCCTGGAGTGTGTGCTGGACGGTGGCCAGCAGCAGTGTGTGTGAGTTCAGGCCATCCCAGGGTCAGACTCTGCAATCCACTGCAGCCTTGTGTTCCTCCCGGCTTCTCTCCCCTCCCACCACTTGGCTTTGTTTTTCTTTTGTAAATCACAGCACAGACCGTTTTTGAAACACAATGCTCTTCTCCTTGGTTCCTCTCCTTCTTGTTCCTCTTGATATGTCTTCTCAGCAGACAGCCAACACTTGTTGCTCTCGTAGCCACTTCCAGTTCAGATCGTCCCTTTAAGCCTCTCTGCTCTCCTTTCCCTGTCGTTTCTTTTCCCTCCCACCCTCGTTCTCTCCCTCTGTGTGCTACTGTTGAGGAAGTGCTCTCTTTTTTTTTCTTATTCTCCTCCCTTTCTCCAGCCCTTCCTCTAATAGTTATTTAGTGTCACATTTCAGCACCTGCTTTGACACAGAAAGACAAAAATTTGAACTTAAACCAAAATGAAAAGTGCCGTTTTGTCATCAGTACCACTACCAGCATGTCTGTGTGTATTATTTTAGCAGGAGATCATTAAGTTATACAGATTTAAAACAAGGTTAAATCATTGCATGCAAAAGTGTAGATCAGGGCTATTCAAATGGTGGCCCGGGGGCCAAATCAGGCCCACTAGTGAGCTCTGTTCGTCCCACCAATGGGTTCGTTTTAAAAATAATAAAACTAGATTTTAAACCGTAAAACAAGCTTAATTAATGACAATAATTGCAATATCTGGCCCCTGAGCTCTTGGCTTTCAGTAACTGTGGCCCAATGAGCATTTAGTTGAATAGCACTGGTGTAGATAGTTTAGCTCTAGGTTATAAATAGTGAGTATCTTACCTGTTATAGATAGCTTTCATAAACAGGGAACTTAAGTTTGGAGAAAGAGTTCAAATCTGACTAAAGCAACAAAAAAAAAGTGTATTGCTACTGTCTAAAAGATCCAAACTTGATCTAATCCAGCCAGAACTTCTGTGTCCACCTTGCTGGCAAGACCTGACTGTGATTCCTGAGACTTGGCCCTACATCAACCAGTCTCATCTGACCAGACCAAAGTCACAACTGTCACTTAGCTTAAATCATCAGTTGAGCTTTGTCCACACCCTTAACAAAAAGTAGTACATTTCAAGTTCATTTTTGCAAGTTAAGTATAAGTATATCAAGTATACTACACACCATACTTGTAGTGTACTAGAAAATTTACTGATTTAATACTTGTTTGGACTAAACTGGGACATTTTTATACTATTTTTAAGTATATCAAATAAAGTTTATAAAAAGTAAACTTCAAGTACACTTCCTCATTTTTAGTGTAAAATAGTACACTTAAATAAACTACTTTTTGCTAAGGGCATCCTCTGAGCTGCACCAGCTTTCATCAGGACCGTCACCTACAGGTGGCCATGGCAGAGAGAAGGAAACACTGCACACACGGTAACTGGTCTTTGTTGTTTTTACAGTAAGTTTACTGTATTTGCAACGGTGCTTTAACGTAGAAACAGTTGCTCAGACTGCTCAGACTAGCCATTAACTCATCAGTTCCATCAGAAATTAACTGTATTTCTCCAAACTGGGGTAATTTAAATAGCTGTCTACGACAGGTAAGATAGTTATTGTTTACAACCTTCCCACAGAAGTCCACTCTTAAAGATCTGAGCTTTAGTTTCTACTTGGGGTGAGTTTCTAAACGTTTCTTCTTGTGCTACAGAAATATGTTTGTTAAAAACACGAGGCTGAACTACTGACTATGAAAAATAACTTCAGAGAAATTAAAAAAAAAAAAAAAAGATCTACAGAAAACCTGACTCCATATGAGACAAACAAGATGGGTTAGAAAATGGCAAACGGTTTTTAAAATACTAGTTGCATTAAATTTGCGAGTGTTTGAAGGAGTGTGTGTGTGTGCAGGAACCTGAAGTGAACAACAGGTTGGAGAAGTTTCACTGTGTTGAACTCCTCCAAGTGTTTTTAATGTCACGTCTGCTTTGCTGCTCTTTTTTTAGCTTCCGGCTGGTTTTGGGTTTTCCTCTGCAGCTAGTGCTCGTCTCCGACTGGTGAGCGAACCAGCCAGTGTCCACAGTGCATACCTGTGCTCGCTGACATGTACTAACTCACTCTACCTGCAGGCCATGGCAGAGGAACGCGTAGAAAATCATAACAATTTGAAGACGAACGTGGCAAAGAGGGAGAAAAGGAAAGGAGGAGGAGAATGCATTGAAAAAGGATGGCAGGAGAAAGACAAGCAGAGAGAGGAGGGTAGGGGAATGAAGGTGAAAAAAGGACGAGGTGAAGGGGGGGGGGGGGGGGGGGGGTAGAGCAAATAAAAGTCAGAAGTTGCTCAAGGCTACAGGCATCAGTGGATAAGGTGAAAGGAGGAGAGGAAGAAAGAAATCATTAACGGCCGCTTGTCTGTTTCTGACTCGTAATAAATTAGGACCTTCATACGTCTCTGCTGCTGGGAGAAAGTTATGACCCAGATAAAAGGGTTGATGGCGGGGGAATGATTAATGCTCACATTGATCTCTGAAGCACAGTCAGTACCACTCAGCTGAGACAATCAGAACGCCACAGTGAGAAGCGCGTTGCATTCGTCAAACTAGATTTATTTTGCTCTGAAATGTCCAAAAAGCAAAACCTTCTGTTTACTGACATTCTTTTTTCTGTTCTTGTTTACAGTTCTGTGCATTAATACTCCAAAAAATTATTTCATATAAACACTGTGCAGAGCATACAAGTATAAAAAAAACAGGCATGCTAAGTATTGATGAGTGAAAACATTAAAAAAAATACAGCTCACTTTTTAAAAATGAACGAGAAACACAATCCATTCTGTGTCGCCTTAGCAACAAGAGAGAGGCAAACTTTGACTTTAAGGCTAAAACCCACTTATTTTACAGTTAAGGTTATTTTCTATCTAAAGGGACTTTGCTCAGTCTGCGAAAAAAGTTGTTTATCATCTTCAGTGTCTTTAGAAGAACACTTTCAAGTGTGAGAAAATTGGGGTTATCTCCACTCGAGGTTAAAGACAATAAATGATTGACAGAAAGTCAGTGTTACAATCTAAAGTGCAATCAGATTTTTACCTCAGGGAACCTTCAAAAAAAACAAAAAAAACTTCTATGGCGTCTTAAATAAAAACATCAATGCAGACACGTTTTACTGAATCTGCACTGCAGCGTGGGATAACTGTTATTAAACATTTATGATGTCAAATAAATACCTGAACAAACCTGAGGTTTGGTGTGAAACACATCAGAGCAAGTCTCGTTGTAAAATTCTGATTGGGCCCAACAGGACCTGAAAACAATTTACCAGCACTGACAGTGCAAGCAGTTTTAAGGTTGTTGCCAGTAGTCAGAGTTGTGGCTTTATTAATCGTTGCATCTACATTTATGCATGACACATACATGCTTTTGTTCCGGCAAATAAACTTTTGCTTCAGTGATGCTTTAAAACCTGTAATTAAAAAAAAATTGTTCTTCGTTCGAAGTGGCCAATGAAGTGAGGTGAGTTTTGTTTCATTATATATCTGCTTCTCATTACGTCTGTGCAGCAACAAAATAAATAACTACTTTACGAAGACAGAATTTCACACAGTGAAAGCTAACACGTGCCGTCCCAGATGCAAAGCAGCGTCTTCCTCCAGCATTCATTCCTTTTGTGCAGAGAAGTTCATGATTCCACAGGACGCGTCGCTTGCTTCAGGTGGGGCAACACCATTCATTTACACATGAAAGGAACGGGGGCAAAAAATACAGGAAGAGGAGAGAATTAGTTTAGTCAAAATGGCAATGTATGAAACTAAAGCAATTGTTTTTTCTGGCCGCGAAGCACAACAGCTTGCTAAGATGCTACATTCTCAAATTACACACGAAACAGCTAAAACAAATAAGACAAGTTTGAAACTTACAGTTTTTTTTTTACTTACAGTAAATCATAATAATTGCTTAAATTAGAAACAAAGCTGCAGTTGGTGTTACTTGAACCTGATTTAACACAAAAGCTGGAAAATGGTGAAGTAATATAGCTTTGTCAAACATGTTACCTGTAGGTTTACAGTAGTCCCTCGCTACTTTGCGGTTCGACTTTCGCGAACTCGCTCTTTCACGTTTTTTCAAAGATTGAGCACAAGAATTAAAAAAAAAAAAAGTTTTACAGAACACGATGGTCAACTTTAATATTTCTTACGTGATTGGGACAGTACTGGATACTACACAGTAAAAAGTTAACGAAAAAACAAAATACTTCGGACAGGCGCCGCTATTTTCTAGTTTCCTCTCAATCAGCCTACACTGTAGAACTACATTTCCCAGAAGCCCCATTTCCTTCTGCTGAAATGCTAGAGGGAAAATTTTGATTTGATCAGAAAAAGTTTGGTGCTTTACAGTGACTTTGGCGCCCAGCGGATGCAGACAGCCACACGGAACCCACTGGGAACGGGACTAAAACCAGACGAGAACCGGACATCCAGACCCATAGGTGAATCTGAGAATTGGTAGTCGGCATACAAGGACTTCCAAGCAGGTGTGCACCACCAAAGGTCCGGCGCTCCGGAGCCCACCGAGACCCTTTCATCTCTCAGTCCACTCAATCGGATATCGGACCACCAGTCCCGCCTTGGCCTGACCTGATCTCAAGGTCCCCCCACCCCCCCAAAAAAGTGCTTTGGTGCTCAAGGGCTGCATAGAACCGGAGCAGAACCAGACATCCAGACCCATCGGTGAATCTGAGAGCTGGTAACCAGCTGTCGGGGACATCAGAGCGGGGACACACAGGTAAAATTTAGTAGCTACAAATATATATGTTGTTAAAATTAGTAGGTTTAAGAGTTCAGAACATTGATTGTGGGCTCGTCGCTGCAGGGTAGGTCTGCAGAAATGAAACGAGCCGGACCGGAACCGAGAGCTGCTGCTGTTCAGCTGAGCGAGTCTGTATAATATATATATATATATATATATATATATATATATATATATATATATA